GGAAGTATTAGAAACAAAAATTTTTGCAAGAACTTTTGGATTCTTTTGAGTCTTTTGAGTTTTTTGCAATAAATTTTTTGGCGCCTCTTTCACGTGTTTCATGTTCAGACTACATTTTGACTTTAATCGAATCTATTTTGAGGCCTAATTAGTGACCACCTCATAAACTATGCATGCTCGAAGTTACAAGCAGAACGGAGCCCATTAAGGTTGTTAAAACCGCCCATTCTTGTCAAATTCTTTTCACTCAGTTTTTGACCTACCCAGAAACGCATAGCAAAAATGAAACCCATTTTTGTGATCCTTGTATGGACCCCTACAACAAGCAACATTTCCAAAAAGCGCGCCACGACCTGAAAGACCTCCCTTGTTAGAGGACCCCTCAAGCAGAATGAGATTGGAGCCACGAACTACATACTACTGCTCTTCGTATACCCCATGAGTGAATCTGGGAGAAGCTTATAACTGAACTGGAACGAAACATTCCATTTTAGATACGGTTACTCCACTGAAAAAGGAAAATGCGTTGAGTTTTCGTACGGCGGTTGCCAAGGCAATGCAAACAACTTCGAAACTATGGAAGCATGTAGGAGGAGGTGTCACCGAAGAAGATTCAACTCTTGAACAGACTGACAATTTTTTGGCAATTTTGGTCAGCCATTAATAAATATTTGAAACGATGTGTAATATCAGTGTAAATGAACAAAAGAACTAGGGAGGTCGTTCAGGACGTGGAGCGCTTTTTGAAAACGGTTTTTTGCATGATGTGGGTCACGTGCATGGAGTACCAAACTGGTGTTCATTTTTCCTGAACGCCTCTGGGAATGCCAAAAATGGAGTGAAAAAGAAGTCCATGGAAACCGACTGTTTTTGAGCCTGAATGGGCTCTAAATCACTCGCAACTTCGGCCAGTTGCTGCCTATAGGGTCCTTATAAAGGTTGTACTGGTATCGATGAGAAAAGTAGTCGCCAATGGGGTCTTACTTGTGGCACGTAGTTAAGAGTCGACGGCTAGTTGGAATGGGCTCTTAAGCAATCGAAGTGGTACTGTGCCAACGATCGGATGGCCTAGTGGATAGCGTGGAGGATTCTCAAGCAGACGGTGGGGATGGGGGATGATGGTTCGACTCCCCTCGGCTTGCACGTTTTTGCATTTTTTATTTTCCGTTGTTGTCGCTTCCATATACGTCTGTTAATGAATTTTACTCGGATATCTGCCATTTATAGGCACATCCTAAATAGTTATACCCCGTAGTCGGTGCTATTCAGCATTTCGATTTCACATACCATTAAGCAAGAACTTGTCTGAAAGTTGAGCTTTATATGTTATTCGGTGCCCTGATCACGACTATGGCATTTACTTTCAGCTCTAGTGCCATTTATCTCCAATTTGGAGCCACGTCTTTCTCCCACTGGAGTCGCTATGTACATTCC